CTCCACCTTTGCGCTATAAAGAGCGTCCTTGCGCAGAAAACGTCAATTCCCCTCTTTCCCTTGTACTCGTATAATCTCTCTCAGATCACGCTCCTCAACTCCCAGACCAACTGCTGTTGGTTACAAACACCCACCCTCCAAGCTGAAGGATGCACTGCGCGGCAATCACGCGCTGTAAGTATGTACATATTCCGGCGCATATATGCGCCCATCTACTGACTCTTCCTAGCGAGCTCGTCTACTACGCCTTCACCATCAGTGATGCATGCTTCAACTCGCGTCTTAACCAGCCTCTCCTTTCTCTCACTCCAGCTTATCCTCGTTCTCGTTCTCCTCCAGATCGCATACAGCCACCCGGTTTCCTCTCCAGAGCTGGCAGGGCTGGCAACACTCGCTAAGTCGCTCCTTCAGTTTGGATGACCGGTCGCTTTTTGTATCCACAGCAAGGGCAAGATCCCGTTGTGGAACGGTCAGCATGCGGCGAATATTCTAACAAGTCCGCTCTTGAGCCTCAGCATTGGTTCTGCGGTCACGCGAGGCTTGTGCCTTCCCCGGCCCCTTGTAAGCTCCTTCCCCGTTCCTCCCTGTCCCCCACTCTTTCCACCTCATCTTCTGTTCGCTCTCTCTCCCTGTAGAGCATGCCTGACTCTACCGTCCCACCTCCTCTGCTCCTGGCTTTTCCTGCTCCCTACTCACCCCCACTCACCGTAGTGTCAGCCCCAGCACGTTTTGGCTGCATAGCAGACACAATCGCATCATCCATTTAGGTCGCGTTCACCGATCAGCGCCCTTCGTTTCTTCGACAACGACACCCCAGTCCAGCCCAAGCGCGCATATAGTCTCCCCGCCACCTCGGCATCCATCGGGTACCCTCTATCTCGCGTTGCAATTTCTAGTAGTGTTCGCGAGCGACGAGGTAGCGCCACAAGCAACTCAACGGTACGTAGGATCTTGAAGTCTGGGATGTTCCTTCCGCTTGTGCATCTCGCGCCGGACACTATCAGGGACCATATTGACGGCGACGAACCCGCCCATATTCTAACACCCGCAGAACAGTGCAGGAGCACGGGTGGGTCGTCCTTTGCGGTCCCCGAAATCTCCGTGATTGTGTTGACTGTAGGAGCGTATTTGCCCGCAACAACGGTATTGCCATGCAGCAGCACTGTTGTACGGTAGAGTAGGCTTTCTTCCCACGGCCTCTGGTCCGCGCTCCATGACACTCCGACAGCCTCGTCAACGTGGTGCATCAAGTGCAGCACACTACGCGGGTCATCAGGGACCTTGAGATTGGGCCAATCGACGTACTGGAACTGTGTGACAGTCCGGGGAGGCGGTCGCGGGTACGCGGTGTTGGTGAGCTCAGTTTGTCGTCCTCGTTGTCCTTCTCCTACATGTCGACAACACCATCACCACCCTTGCTGTTGGATATCATACTTGCGCTTTGGCTTATCCTTCGTGAATATGTAATTATGTATCATCGTCTTGTTCGGCAATACGATTACCTGCCCGTGCATCCTCCCGAGCCCAATTATCAGTTCGATGTAAATGGAATACATTTTTAGTTCCTAGGCACACACCACCTGGACTCTCCTGATCATCCAATGCATGAATTTCGAGCCAATGACGCAAATAACCTGCACCATGTGTCCCTTATTGCCCCACGTCGCACCAACTTGCAGCATTTGCCCCGTCTCGCAATTCTGACAATTCCAGGCAACCTTGAAAGGTACGGCGTTCGAACGCCGGTATTGCATGGCACCGCAATCTCTGCAATACCATGCAATACCGGCGACGTCTCGGCCGTATTGCCTGGCATTTCCGAGCATGGCCTGTCCATGCAGGCAGTCCACGGACATTGCCTTCTGAAGGAAACGCGACAGGTCCATTGGAATAGTCCTGCAAGCATGCCATATATTTTTTCCCTTGCCTGGATAGGCATAGGAGGGTAATGTACAACAACAATTTTACACTTTTGCTGATGACGCAGGCGACAGGTGGAAGCGCCGGCCCGGGGACGCGCGCTGGCACTCACTGTATTGGCACCTGTACGTGAGGATGCCCGGAAACAGGTATAACCCAAAGATCAAGCAGCAGCTACGTCCACCATCCAGGAAGAAGTAGCGGTATTGGGAACAAGGGGCAGAACCATAGGACCACCAGCAGAACTGCAGAGAACAAGAAGCATAGAGCGTGTGGGCGGTAACTGCACAGAGACTCGGAGAGAGAACGCAGCGAGAGGAATATGAAGTGCAGCCGCACCATCGTCGATCAGGGCGGACGTGCAGCTGTCGCCCGACAGCGACATTCCACAGCCCGACAGATCTTCACTGCAGCCGCGGCGGTCCGCACTTTGTCCCCGCACCTCTGTGCACGATGGCTCTGTGCCTTGATTTCGCCCGACTCGCGCGCGTACACGCGGCCGTCAAAGCCAAACTTCGTTACAGTTATACGCTTCCACACGCAGTCAGGGCGCGACGGGCTCGGACATCTGCTGGCATCTCGCTAGAGATTCCTGTGCTGGCCAGGCACGCTCGGCGATTGAGACGCGCTAGCCCCGCGCTCGATTTCTCGACGCTGAGGTCTGAGCTCACGATGGCGTTCACCGCACCGCAAACACGGCTGGCACCTCCAGCTTGAAAGCTAGAGCGAGAAGAGGAGGAAGCGCGCCATATATGCGAAGGCTGACCACCATGTGCGCTCGCCATGAGCAGACAGTGCAGGTTGGCTTTAGGGAAGGCCTAAGTAACGTGAATCGACGTGCTGATGTTGAGTCCAACGTAGCTGCTTCACCGACCCTTCGTGTGACTCCAACAAAAGGCTTGGCGCGGAGAACCTCATACATCCTGCTTGCTAGACTACGGAACCCCGTGTTCCCCGTTCCACAGTCAATATTCGCCATCATACTTATCACCGCTACGCCGCTGACGAAATCTGAGGAGTGTAGGGTGGAGAGATTGGGTCATACAAACTTCGAGGCTACGTGAACAAACCGTTCCGCGATTGCAAGCGAAGCAGTAGCATTCGCCCGTCAGCCGATAGGAGCGGCTTAACAGAGCGGCCCGGATGTGCATATGCATCAGGAGCCAACGTTCCGACCCTGCAGATGATCCCGCGGGATTGATAGGTAATGCGATCAAGAAGACGATACGAACGGGCGGTGCTGGATTGTGGAAGCGTTTCGAGTGGACGTGCTGATCACTATCACGCCTTCCGGGGGGGCCTCGACTGCGAACGGTGAGCGGAGAAGCGAAAGGCAAGAAGGAGAGAGAGCAAGGACGGGGCCAGCTGTCGGTGTCACGGGTGGGAGGAGAACTAGAATCTGAATCTGATGCGCAGCTTGGGCGGACCGTCGGACAGCCGCCCGATCCTGGATGCATCTGGTCCACGCGCGCGGGTAGGACGATAAGAGACAGGCTCCCACAAGGGTCGTTGGGCGTCGATGGCGTAAGCGGCGCCCTGGGCGGAACATCGACCGCAACACCTGTTGTGGCAGACGAGCGGATGTGTTTGGGTGACTGTGGGACGCAGAGATGCCAGGCTCTGTCGAGAAGCGGAAGAGAGCTGCGGCAACGACCGCGTCTCACGAGCTCGCAGAAAACGGCGGGCAGGAGTACTTTGCGTGTGTGTATGTATATACAACAGTGAGTACAAAGTACTTTGTGGACGAGAGCGAGCCGGGATGGCCGACCGGGATAAGTATCCTTCCGTCTCGGCCACTCTCCCCACGTGGGACATGCATCTCGGCTGCCCTGATTGGCCAGGGGAAGCAGCTAGCACAGCCACCCAGGGGCGAGAACGCTCTCGGACGCGGAGGACAATCGCTCACTGCCGATGCATGGCTCTTGCCTCCGCTCAGTCTCGCCTTTCACGCACCCGACCTGTCACCGGTCCACCTCCCAGCCTAACAGCGTACTGTGTCCGCGGCGGTCATAGACCAGTAGTCTAGAGAGCGGCACCCGCGGGCAGAAGCACGGACGGTGCCAGATGGCGCGCGATAGAGCAATACGAGTTTGACCGCAGCGATCGCCGTACGATCGAAAGCGCCAGGCAGAACATATCACACACGAAACACCGAAACACGATAGACACATCAGCCGCGCGCTCGCTTCCAAACGTACTGTCACACAAGTTGATGACTTGTTCAGTCCGACCCCGCCTAACGGACTCACTATGAGCGGTGGGCAGCGGGAGCACAATGGCCCGTGACGGCCCTCGACATTGCGCGATGACAGTCCAAGCCCAATTCTGCCAGCTCATTCGTGTGTACATATATGGTTTGTGAAAACAGAATGACAAGGCATCCCGCGTTTGAAGGGGAAGTGGAGCCGGGACAAGTGCGTCCGGAGACTGAATGCATCGAGGCGGGGTGAGACGGATGACAGCGTTGGGTGTGTGCGCAGATGTAGCCGGCGACGGGCGGGGGCGACTGGTAAGCAAACGATGGCACACGGCTGGGACTGGGACTTGGGGTTCACACGCTATGTATTGAGTGTCTCGGTGGAGAGAAGGGTCGAAGCTGGGGAAGGGGGGATGCGCGAAGGCGTGACGCGGGAATGCTGAAACGCTCACGAATGGCTGGGAGGGAAAGATTCGCTCGAACGGGTGGGACACGTGGAGATAGTGCAGTGATTCACCGGCTGATGGGCTGTTACACGCCTGGGTTGGGCTGCAGCTGCAGGGGAGTGCAGAGCTGGATGCGAGACCGGGGGGCACATATGTTCTGATATGTTTTGACGTCAAAGTTTGGGGGAGGGTTATTGCAATCGAGAAAGCAAGTCGGCCTTCTGGATTCGGTACCGGGCGGAAAAAGTGCCTGAGCCGAGGGAGCGGGAGGGGATTTGAAAGTCCGCCGGGGAGTGCCTTAATTGAGATTTCAGGCACCTTTTAGGTTGGGTCTGTGCCGCTTCCAACGGCCAATGGACAGCCAAAAGTCCCCGCACTCGCTCTCGCCCACAGCGTCCACAGCTCCTCCCTCTCCAAACTCCAATCCCGACTCGACCATGACGGCCGTCGTCGCCCCAGCCGTCTTCAACGCCCCTCCACCCGACCCCCGCAACGCCTCCGTCGCCAGCTCAGGCGTCGGCAAGGCCCGCTATCGTCCCGCCCCCGCAAAGACCTTCCAATGTCGCGGTTACGGCGAGTGCAGGATGGTGTTCAGCAGGAGTGAGCATCTCGCCAGGCACATCAGGTACGCAGTCATTCCAGCTCGTGACGGACGTTTCCCCGCTTCCCCTCGTCCTACGCGCCTTTTTCTCCCCTGAACCGCCCGCGTCTCGCCCCGAATGACGCTCACCGACACCCTCTTCCCTACAGGAAGCACACCGGCGAGCGGCCCTTCAGTTGTCATTGCAGCAAGCAGTTCTCCCGCCTCGACAACCTCCGCCAGCATGCCCAGACCGTCCACGCAGACAAGCAGGACCTCAACGAGCGCATGATGCAGGATCTCACCGCCCTTCACGCCAACATGACCGCCGCGTCCAAGGGCAGCAGTTCTCGTGGCAAGCGCAACAATACCTCCTCAAACACCTCTGGTGGCTCACCCACCTCCAGCGCGTCCCTCAACGCGTCCATCCCCGCCATGGCCGTCAAGACGGAGGAGGGTTCCCACGCTGTCCTCTCCATGTCTCAGCGCCCGGGCACATCTACCGGCTACGAGGGTTCGAATACATTTCTCCAGTCAGGCAGTTCTACATGGCACATCCAGACTTCCGACGTCGATCGCCCCAACCAACGGCCGACCAACAGTCATTCCTTTCGTGACCCCGGCCAGTCCTTTCGTGCCTCAGCCAACCCATCATCAGCTTCTCCCTCCGGCTCCGCTACTCTCTACCAGCAACAGCAACAGCACCACTCGGGCCAGTCCTTTCTCGTCCCCTCCGCCCCCACATTCAACTTCAGTGTCCCCGATATCCCATCAGCCGCTCGCCCAGGATCTAGCAGTGGCGCTGCAGCATCATCAGCAGGGTCAGAGCCCGCACGATCCCTCCCACCCCTCAGCGCGGTCGTCGCCTCATCCCTCCCTCCCGTCAGGGCTCTCGCACCCCCATCCGGGTCCCTTGCCCTTGGGTCGCTCCCCGCCGCATCCCAACAACAACAACCCCTCACACACTCATCCGTACTACCTCCCCCCACACCCACAGGGCCATATCACGGACGGCGACCCTCAACAGGTCTTCGTCCAGGGACCGCTCCCGCCTCATACTACTACCCACCCGGATCTGCCGGCTCCGGCGCTTTCGTTGCAGGACCTGGAGCAGTATCAAACCTGGGCGCGGTTCGGGGTCCAGAACTATCCCTTCGATTTGCAGTCGGAGCTGGACGGCTCGGTGGCGGTCTCGAGCCCATACGCCGACTCGGCAGCGGCTATGGAGGCGGCGAGGATGCAGGAGGAGCAGACGAGCCGACATCTCCGGGCGGATACGACTCCCCATTTTCCTTCCACGCACCCTCCACAGGTGGGCCAGGCTCAGCGTCGTACACCGCCGAACCTTCAGCTTTCCGGTACGCACCTGGTGCGTCAATCCCTCGGAAGCGACCTTACTCTGGATCCGACGACGATGACGGCCCACGTGAACGCGGCGAACGGCTCGGCGGAGATGCACTTGGCCGCCCAGTTAGCAGCGGGCGGGACTACGAATACGGGACAGAGTCTCGGCCACAGTCTCGACGGCTCTCCGTCATGGAACTCTGCAATGACCCACCTGCAGATGCAGCAGCAGCTCGACCATTTGTACCGCTATCAGCAGCAAGTGGCGGTGCATCAGCAACAGGCGCACTCTCGCGGCCCACCACATCCTCGGGACTCGTCACATCAGCAGCCCAACTCGCGCTCGTCGATCGCGCCAGCGTCAGTCCCCCTCCGGCAGCAGGTGGCGCAGAACCCGCATATAGCGGCGCGGGCGCATCATTACTCGCTCGAGCTGCACAGGCAGCAGCAGGAGCAGCTCCAGCAACGTCTCCAGCAGCAGCAACAGCGCGAGGAGACGGAGGAGCAGGAGCGGCGGAATTCGGAGGAATACATGAGGCTCGCGCAGCTGTATGGGCCGGGTCCGCTTTCGGGCAGCCCGCATCCCATGGGCGCGCCGTCGGGGGCGTATTTTACTCAGGGGCAGCAGCAGGCGGACCACAACAGCAGCTACCAGGATGGGCTGCGGCCGCACGCTCGCCATCCTTCTCACCAGCAGCTTCACCACGGGCATTCGGGAGCGCATCACCCGCAACCAGTCATGCATCTACCGCAGCACCTGGCTCACCAGGCGATGTTGGACGGGGGCTATCACCTCCCGGACGGCGTGGGCCAGGATCCCCTGGAGTTGGGGGTGCTGGGGCCGGAGGGGAGTCCCACGGGAATGATCAAGTACGAATCCCCACTGCCGTTGGAATGAGGGCGTAGTTCGCGCCTGGCGCTCCTTCTGGGTGCCTATTGGGCGGCGTCACAGTGCCGTGCGCTGCTCCCGTCATGTCGTCCGTCCTGCCCTCGGCCGCCTAGGAGGAGCGGGAGGCCGGGCGCGTCTCAGCGTCGCGTTACCCCGTCTGGCTCGTTGCTGCCTATTCTCGGTCGTGTCTTGCGTCTCTCACGTTCCGCGTCGGTCTCCCGTCTTGTCTTCCGTCGTGCTGTGCCTCTAAATATTGCCCCGTCTTCCCCAGGTTTCTTCACGTACGTCATTTACTCGTATATATCGTATATCATCATCGCGTCGGTGCATACCGTAGATACCTTGCGCACACCCCCTCTAATCTTGGTCGGCGTTCCTATTGCTCATGCTCGTGTTAGTGACTGGTGTTACCCGGTGGTCGACGCTCCGCGCCACAGTGCACTCTCTATCGCCGATATCCGCACTGGCGTGTCGTCGTCGCGCTCTCCGACTCTCTGACTTTTAGCCATCCTATCCCGTTCGCCTTACATACATGGGTTTCAAATTGTGTTATATGTGTTTTATGCGTTTTGTCGATTGTCGAGGACCGTTCTTCCATGTACTGCCGTACCGCTTACCCGTGCTTGACTTGGCTTCGATTTCTCATGTCTCGAATACTGTCTCCAGGTTGTAAGCTCGGTTTAGTTGTAGAATAAAAACGCCACGGGTGTCGCGTGTAAAGTTGATCAATGTCGTACAAGTCTGGAAACAGTCGGCCATCGCGAACCTGCGCAGTCGCGTGTTTTGCCGTCGTCCCCGCTGTGCTCGGGCTAGGGGAGATTGGTAACCACACGGGGCTTGAGTGTGGTGCGTTTAGAGTTTCTGATGGACCTGTCGATCACAGGGACAAGAAAGAGGGCGCGGAGTGAAATTGAACATCGGAGACTGGTGCCGGTATGGTTTTCAAATGATCGTTGGAGAGATGGTTGAAGTAAGGCGCTGCACCATAGGATACTGTTCGCGTGCGGCGCTCAGGCGGGCGTCGGGCTGCGCGTTACCAGCAGCGGATCAGCGCCCTGGTTAATGCAGATCGCGCAGCCCTTCGCTCAATCCTTGCGACAGCTGCTTATCGTCGACGCCGACGCCGACGCCAACATGAACGACCCGGCGGCTTGACGTGATGTCGAACAAAACATATCGATCATGATGAACCGCAGGGTATTCGTGGCAAGGAGGCGAGATGCATGCGGCTACTGCTCGCCATCTTTCACAGCTTAGCCGGCAAGTCGTCCCTGCCCTGGCCAGGGCCGTCGCTGTCCTGGTCTCTCCTCCCAACCTCCACACCCGTCCGCTCATATCATTCTTTACCGTCCCACTCGCCTGTCCTTCTTTCCCTTTCCCCACACCACGCAATCCCCCCTCTGCGTGTCGACCACCCGGTCCCTCGCTTCGCCTCCATGCTCCCAACTCTGCCTCTGAATACCCAACAGAGTCCTCAGTGCTGATCTTCCTCCCTCTTGCCCTTGCCTGCTAGTGCTCGCTCTCATCCTGCTTCCATCGCCCGATACCCCCCTCCCTGCCCTTTCCTTTCTCTATGAACTTCGCCGTCGACGACGCCGACCCATCCATATCATATTCCCCTAATGGCTGGGATGTCCAGTCCGCCAACGACCCTGACCTCGACAAGTTCTTCCAGGAGACCTATCACGTTGCCGCCCAAGACGGCGCGACCATGGTCTTTCAGTTCATCGGTTCCGCATTCGCCCTCTATGGATCCAAGGGCCCACAACATGTACGTCCTGCTGATCTTCCCATATCGTCCCTGCCGTAAGGCTCAGCTGCGCACCCACCCCCGTCCGCAGGCCCAGTTCAACCTACAGTACGACAACATCGTCGTTCCTCTCGACGCATCCGCGTCGACCACGGCATTCCAACAGGAGCTTTTCTCGCACTCCTTCGCGTCCGATGGCAACGCCACTCAGCACACCGTGAAGGTGACCGCGATTCTGAACGGGATGAACAATTGGCTCGACATTGACTACATCACATTCACCAACGGAAAGTGCGTTTACCGCCCTTCCTCCTATCACGTTCTGCCCTCTGATGCACTCCATCTGTGGCACCGGATGCCGTACATCGGTCTATCCCGTCTTACCTCCTCTCCAGCGGCACAACGTCGTCTATCCAGACCGCCACCACCAATCCCCCTTGGCTCTCAGGGTGCGTACCTTTCTCTTGTTCTGGATCGGTGCCATGCTCTCCGTGTCCTTTTCTTCCCTCCCTGTCCACCGTTGTTCTTGTTTCTCCGAGACGGAGATCCTCGCTCCGGCAGAGCTGAGAATAGGCTTGCCGGGAGCAGCGAGCCTGTGAGAGCTTCATCCACCGTCCCCACAAGCTGTGTGCCGCTGGGCCATACAGGCCGCTTCCATCTTGTTATGCAACAACAACACCCTTCGCGCTCCATGCGTGCCTTCCTTTGTATGCGTATTTGCCTGATTGGGCGCGTGGATGTCGAGCGCTGCACTTGCGCGCGCTGACGTTGGTACTTCTCTGCTTCTCCCGCCTCGGGGCCTGCCAGACCGCCTCGAGTTTGCGTCGAGCGCCACGCCGCATGCGGCTCGCCTCTTTGCTCTCGGCTCCGAAACCATCTCGCTGTGCGATCTGTATCTGCGCGTGATACGGTACTGACCGCAGGTCGTTGCAGCTCATCTCAACCGACGCAAACCGGGACAGCGAACTCGACGGGTCCCAACGGCTTCCCTGTGTGCGTGCCTAACTCAATCTGACGTCCCGCGATGGCCACTGAGATCTCTTCGTTTTCGTTCCCTGTTCAACAGCCCCTCATCAGCATCATCGCATTCCTCCCAGAGCAAAGTCTCCACCATCCTCGCCATCGTCTTCGGGTCCCTCATAGGCGTCGCGATCCTTGCGGGCCTCGCCTGGCTCCTCATTCGCCGCATCTACGCCCAGCGCCGGGCACGTGAGCGCGCCTTCCGCTACGGCCAGTCTTCCGTGAACCCCTCGAGCACCGCAGGCTACTACGCCGCGTCGGCGAAGAGCGGTGTCCCCACAACCATCACGCGCCCGCTCTCCCCACCGACCAGCACGATGCGCGAGTACCAGAGCCCGATGGGGGCGTATACGTTGGTCGAGCATGGCGAGGGCTCCCTCGCCAGCGGACAGGGCCACGCCCCCGTAGAGCTGCGGAATATGTCGCTCGACCACCGAGAGCGGGAACAGGAGAGAGAGAGGGAGAGAGGCCCGGGCACGGGGTCGACCACCCCGTCGACGTCTCGGCCGCTCCTGAGCCAGTCGCCGATCGCGTGGACGACGCGGAAGATCGGCGGGCACAAGGGCGACGCCGACTCGTTGAGGACAGACTTTCTGCAGGTGTAGTTGTTCCTGCGCCCGATCGCGTTCGCGTCTGCGTTCCTACGCCATGTTACGTGGGTTTATTTATCGTCGCGTCGCGCCTGTGTACTGTACTAGTAGTACATTTAGCTTTGTCGTTCTTCGCTGGACGCGCGTCGTGTCCACATTACCATCGCCCACCGCTATTTGCTACTCGCTACGAAGCCTTAATCTGTTCTGTGCACACGTACGATGGCGTCGGAGCCAGAGCTGGACATTCAACTTGTACTTAGCTAGCTACTGTACACAAGTAGACACGGTACCGTCACGTCACGACCGCACTCGTCTGGATTGCGCGCAGCGATAGTATGTGTTCGTGCGCGAGCATGCTTCATCCGTCTCCGCGTTCTCTGAGACGGCCAGGTGCTCGCAGTCCCAAGACGCTTGGTCGACGTCCGAGGGCACGCTAGGGCCTTGACGATGGCCGAGCGAACGCGTAAAGACGCAAGTTCGACAAGTACAAATTCATCCTCGGGCCAGCCTCCGCATACACGCGAGGTCCTCCTTGGGGCGAGAAGACCTGCACGTCGTCGCGCACGTCGCGCGGATAGCGTACCGCTGGGAAGATCGCATAGGCAGACGTCGTCGGTAAGAGACTGCATCAGAGGATCTGCCAAGGGCGGTAGACTACACCCACACGGCGCGCTATTCGTACATCTGCATGGGGAAGAAGGCACTGCGTCGAACCGACCGAAGGGTCCAGGCCAGCTCCAGAACTGGTAGAGTGCCCGCCTGCCAGCGAACATACGGTGAGTGCGTCGATGGGACAGGGCGTATTCTACCGGCCGGGCAGCGTTCACCAAATCTTCAGCCTTCGCGAACTCCGCGCCGAACATATCTTGGTTCACTGTCTTCTGACAAGCACCCTCGGATCTGTGATGCATCCCAGCCCGGGTGTGACCACTGTCAGTTCGCGACTGAAAGAGGCCGGTAAGGGGCGAGAATATGTACGTCACCTCCCGTCGGTTTGGATGGACCTATCACGGTACTACATCACCTGGATCGCCAATTCGAGCCCCGGAATACCGTAGTTCTGCTTGTGCAGCGTGGTCTGGGCCTACCGGGCTCAGCGAGGTCCTCGAACGCTGCAGGAGAAAACTCCTTGACATCGTAGTCCCGCGCGACGGCGGAATCGTCCGGTTCTTCAATGATGGTAAGGCGTTCGCTCGTGAACGCCAGCGGGTGGCGAGTCTGAGCGCGTCCAGCGACGACGTTTGTGTACACTGCAAGATGTCAGGAACCACTGACAACGATAGAGAGAGTGAAAATCGTACCTGAAACCTTCCCAAGGGAAGGCAAAATCCCGACGCTGTGACGTCCTGGAGGACGCATGGACTCTCGGCACGGCGTGGAACGGGGAGGGTCGTCCGGAGATGTAGTTGGGGAAGCCGAAGAGTCCGGCGTCGAGCCAGTAGAGTGAGAGATGGTGAGCACATGGATATATTGCTCTCGGTCCGACCAAGAGCGGGATGGGGGACTTGAGACGGGTGGGTATGACGTGCCCTGTTACTCGGCGGTGCATGCTATCAGGACAGTTATTATGGTGCGGTAACGGGCCTCCGACGGTGCTCGGCGCAGCCTGGAACAACGTTAGATAGACGGATACTATGTGGGAAACTTGCTTACAGAAGACAATCCGATGCGCGAGCTGTGTACGACGAAGATGATGCCTGCTTGGAGCGTTCAAGAGGCGGTGTGCGGAGACGCGGTAGCCCGCGAGTGGGAGTAAATGCGGCGTATACTGTAGGCTCGATGTGACCCAGCGTGGATAAGCGGAAAGGGGACGAGGTGGGGTGGGCGAACGAAGTGCCGCGCAGTGAGCGCTGTGGAGGAAACCGGGCGGCGTCCCAAGAGGCCGGAATGATTCTCTCTCCCATTGTCACTTGCCATAATCACGACGGGAGTCGGTTCGAGTGGTACGCGAGGTGGAAAACTGAGACGATGGTCAGGTCCGTTAGAAACCTCTGCCGCCTTGAGGGATGTCACCCGGATGGGACTGTGTGGGGTAGAGCGGGTGAGCATCAAGATCGGACTGGGAGCGAAAGGTGGAAGTTACGTAGCTCGGGGCATGCTCTCGTTGGTGTGATTGCGAAGGGGATGATGTAAGGTGGGCGAGGTAGCAAGCGGGCTCACCTGTTTGTGTATAGAGACAGTCGTGGAGCAGCAGGGCAGATGTCTACCAAGCCGGGTCTCGGTCTACGTCGTGGCGTCGGAGTGATGAGTAGGGCTGGGGACAGCGCAAGTCGGTCGCCAACAGACGAGAAGCGGCCATGGCCAGGCGTACAAACTTGGTGAGCTCAGACCTGTCCATCGACTGGCTGGCGAGCTGTCGGTGACCCACGTCGGTGACCCGCGTCGGGGGTGCGTAGAGAGCACGGATACATAGGCCGTGCTCCGAGGCAGTCGCTACATACCGTCAGAAAATCTCCTCCTTGCAACCTTCCCTGTTCGATTCAGGTCCACCCCGCCTTCGACGGACATGAGCTCACCTCCACCGGTGAGACTCCTCCATCAGCCTCCTCCTTGTACTTATCCACCACCACCCGCATGTCCTTGCGGCAGCACGGGCCACTTGGGATTATGAGATGACCCTGGAGCGAATCTACCACCTTATTACCCCCCTCATACACGCACGATCGAGAACAGCCAAGACTTGAAATCTTCTCTAATAGTCGATACAACATTTCCATTGGCCCAGAGCTCCCCGCCGTAGTCGCCCCACGCACGGATCTGGCGCCTATAGCCTCGGTCCGCATCCCGGCCCGAGCGGCGATGTCCACCTCCAGCCGACGCCGCCGCCTCACACGAATTCAAATGGACAGGCGACTCAGGGTGCTGTCTAAAGCGAGCCTTGATTTCTACAACACACTGGCGACAGATTGTACCTCTGCCATATAGCATACCGTAAATCCTACGACCTTCTGAACGAACATTTCTCTGCGTGATTCGCAAGTGAGACAGTACATCTCATTCGCGCCGTCTTCAGCCAAGCCAATTGGCCTAGCGCATCGTCAGGTGTCGTCCGGCAGCCGTAGGCAGCTGTGGCGTCATCTTCACCGTTTTAACCAGTGTACGTTCCTCCATAGATACAATAATATTCAAGAACTACGGCAACTAAGCATGCTGAGATGACCTCCGAGCCATCGCCTTCCCAAGCTCCCAGTCCCTCGCGAACTCCGGGCCAAATATGCCTTCAATCAACGACGTCTTTCCATCGCTATCGTCAAGTGCAAAGTCAGATCAAGAAAACACCAAAATGTGAGCCAACGTACGGCTTCTGACGTGAATCACTGTTCGGGAGACGGTAGACCGCCTCGCGATACCTCGTCACGTTCACGGCAAGCTCGAGCTCGAGCAGGTTGAACTCTTCCACCTCGAGGGGCGCCGCACGTTCGACGATGTCCTCCAGCGCACGGGGAAGGAGCTCATGGGCTTTGTAGCGCCGGGCAGCATCAAGCCGGACGACGCAATCCGGATCGAGGTCTATTTGCCGTATGGCCAGCTCGCGCATGTGTGTGAAACCCCATTGCGACGCCAGTCTCAGGACGTTCACCCACGACGTCGGCCCGGGGGCAAAAGTCCCGTCCGCTCTGCCGGCAGCGTCGTCAGTCATCTGTAACCATCTCTGATAGCTGGATCATTGAACGCATACTTGCATGGCGCAGGCATCAAGACCCGCAGGAAGTCGCGGAACTCGATAGCAGTGACGCCTTCGATGTGGTCGACGTCGCAGATGTCCTCGACAGTGCCTGCCGCTGGCGGGTCTACGTGAAGCATCTTCCGAAAGAAGCCCGAGGCAAGCAAGAAGTGCGTCGGGATGCGGAAACGAACAAAATCGACCTGCGAAGGACATCAGCGACTGTCTCGCTTGTAGGACTTGCAACGCAAACCTCGAACGTATGGAGATCATAGTAGAAGTGGGGGTCGGGGACCCAGTCCGGTCTGGGGTTCGAACCGGATCTCGACGAGGAGCTGGACTTGGATGTCGAATTCGATTTCAAGTTCGTTGACCCCGACTTTGAGTGCGTCCAGCTAGCCATAGTTGCGGTATGGTTTGAGAAGGTTGTAGAGGAGAGGGACTTCAGAGATTCCGATGCAGACCGAGGCCCCGCCCACTCACCTCGGCGACTTAAATGTCCTCCACATCGTACCGCAGCCGGAACGCGATGCTGCGGTACATCTGCGACAGCTGTCAAATTGCTACAACACTGGATGGAGCATCTGGTCGTGGATCGTCGCCTACATAGAGTAGGGACCGTACAACTGTCGACGCAACAAGAGGTTTCGGCACTGAACTGGGCATGCCAACGACTCCAAGGGATATCGAGTAAGCGAGCGAGCGCATGCGTGTCACAGGAGACTGCTCAGGGCAATCCTTGTTTGTCTATATAGATAGGCCGTCGGCGCCGACATCCACCATGTACCAAATATGGGTCGTCTGTCAACCATTTCGGATTGAATCTGTCATGGAGATTAGGGTGCTGCGGTAGAGAGGCATTGGTGACAACACACCTAGTTCGAATGTTTATTCGACCGTGATCTTCGACGTCCGTTGGCTGTCCTGTGACCAAGTAGACAGAATACGTACTGGTCTGCCACTGCCGTAGAGAAGGAAACACGTCGTGCTTGAAGCGTCGCGACGGGCGGATGTGAGCGGCGAATGTAACAAAATGCAAATACAATGAGCATCAAATACAGCAAAGACACAACAGGTACCGGAGAGAGAGCGCAGCGCGACTACTCATACAAAGTACATCACATACATATCAAACAGGAACATACCAAGCAACAGCACATACAACGATCGCTTAATACAAATCCGCCCCAAACACCACGCGGATTTTCTGCGAAAAGTCCGCCTGCTTCCTCAGCGCAGCAAGCGTCACGGCTCCCGCCCTAGCACCTGCCGGAAGCTGCTGTCCATGCCCATGAGCATGCCCCGCGGTTGCGTTCGCGATATGCCCATGCGCGACCGTGCAGTAGTTGCACCCACAAACGCACGTCCCCGTAAACGTGACGCTCTCCCTGATCTGGAAGAGCTTTGCAGCAGTCTCCCACCCTAGCGCCTCCAGGTCCTGCGCGGACAGCGGCTGCTCCTGCTGCGCGAGTGTCGTGAGCGCGGGCTCGAGCCAGCCGGGGATGTTGTACCTGCGCGCGAGGACGATGCGCGCGGCGGGGGAGGTGACGAGCCGGGAGAGTTCAGTGATGGCGCGTTCGCGGATGTCGTCAAAGATCCACATTGTGGCAAGGCGGAGGACGGACGTCCATTGGGGTTGTGTCAGGATGCGCGCGGAGCCGTAGCCACTGTCGGGGTGCGCGCGATGGACGAGAGGGTCTAAGAGCGGAACTAGAGTGCGAAGCGGGGAAGACTCACGCCCTGAACATGACCCAAAGGAGAGGCCTGAACTCCTCCTCCGTCACCCCTTCGAGCTTGATGGGATTGTCGTCGTTCGAGCCTTCGACGCCGTACGCGCTGTTCAGAGGAGGTAATCCAAAAGTGTCCGAGAACGCCTTAGAGTCGTGCTCAAACGGGCGGCGGGGAACCTTGAAGAGGACGCCTCCGACCTGCGTTGGGAAAGAACGCTCGTTTGCGATCGGAGAATGGGTACAGCACTGCCGAGAGCTTACGAGGAAGACGACGTCCTGGCAATAGAATTCGTCGTCTCGCCTTGGGGACAGAGGCGGTGTAGGGATCGACGGTTCCGTAGTCGCCAGCTGCGGAGCGAGAGTGTGAGTTGGGCTAAGCTTGGGAAGGGCGACGGCAGGGATGATTGGAGAGGGAACCGCAGTGGTAGTCGTCGATTCGGGGTTCATGTTGAAAGCGGCCATGGAGGATCCGATGTCCAAGGACAGCACTGGGGAGCATGGGAGGTGCAGGTCCCACCCAGTCGGGTTGACAGTGGCTGCAGGGGTGTGTTATCGTTATCAGGAGGAGGGAAGAGTGGGGTTTGCAGACCTGCCAATACAGCCGGAGAGGTTCGTCGTGGTGGGGTGCTGCGGTAGTCCAACTTCGAAACTTTCTCGAGACGGAGAAGAACGCAAGGGATCCCGCGCACGGGTGATAAAGAGTTGCAACGGCGACGTTGTGGTGTAGGCCAAAGAGCACCGACGTCCTCCCCGCCGTGGTCGACGGCGGAGAGTCTCGTCGGGCGCACTGAGCGCCCACGTTCAGAGCACTCATACTTGGCCTACATTTAATGTATCACACATTGCGCCGTCTTCTTCGTATACAGAGGCACGTATCACAAAGAGAAATACATTGGTCGTAAACGAATCAGTCTTTTTCATTCTTAGCCTCGTCTTCCTCGTCTTCCCCTTCATTCTCGTCTTCATCCTCCTCCTCTTCAAACTGCTCTTTAAACTGCTCTTCATCCTCCTCTTCATCCGCCTCTTCATCCTCATCTTCATCCTCCTCTTCCCTGGCCGTTTTCCCGCTTTCCCTACCCAACGTCTTGCATCTCTCGTCAACGCCAGGCACGTCGACGAGGATACATACCCTAGTCCAGAAGTACCCAAGGGACGCTTCGTTACCGTAATGCAGGTAGTCCGATCGGGGGCCACCCCCGCTTGGATTCGTGACCCAGTATACCGTCAACGAATTACCCCCAATTTCGCCTTCGTACTCATCCCCGTCCTCGTACTTATCCCCCTCCCTCCACAGAGCGCCATCTTTCCCAGAGAACACCTTGCTCTTCAGCACCAAGCCGTCGTGTCGCTTCAGAAGCGCTCTCTCCACACACTCCACCTGACCCCAGTCGGCTAGGTTGACCATATGGTCGAGGACGATGTCGTGCTCGCTGACCAGACGGAACTTTGGCTCCATGCCCATCGCGGTCCACGCCTTGTACAGCACAGCGTCGCTGCCTTTGAGCCATCGGCTCAAGCCCTTGAAGGGGTTCCAGTCGGCGTCGCCACACGTAGCAGGGAACGCGTAGCTGTGGTTCAGTCCGAAGCCCAGCGTCCCTCCCTCCGGCATGAACGTCGGGTCGCTCAACAGCGCACCCAACGCGTCCTTGACCTCGTACGTGTTCGAGTTAATGGGCGTACGGACCTTGAGGCGCGCGGTCGGTGCGAGCTTACGCCTGTCGCCATAGTACAGATTGTATGTCAATGTGACGCGGTGGCCGGAAACGACGGGCATGACCTCGTGCTCGACGTCGCTGAAGAACGCAACGTAGGCGAGGCTGTTAGCCCGCCCGGCGAGCATGGCTGCCGAGTCGAACGTCCACTCATCCCCTCGATGGCGTAGGACGAGCGCACCACCCTCATGGGCGGTAGGGAAGACGACAACTAGGGAGCCGAACATTTTCTTCCCGCGGGGCGTGTCCCTATGGGGTTTGAAGAACGCGCCTTCCCCTGATCATACGAAAATCGAGGTGAGTGTGTGATTATCTCCACGAGGGTTGCGATTGCTTACCGTACACATTCAGCTTGTACAGCTCGGCGCGGATATTGAGTTTGTGATCTCTACGAGGCAACAAGCCAAGGTTCACTGCCTTCAGCAGCCCGATGTCCTCGACGTCAAGCCGGGTCACGAAGCGCTCCGCGTCCATCTTCCCCGCCTTGCGGTACGTCTCGTCGAGCACTGTTTCTGTCCCTCGACCAAACTTCGCAGCGTCGCACGCTTGCGCGAGTTTGCCAAGGGCTTCGGTGTTCGCGGTCTGCGATAGATTGATGAACCTATTCGAGCTTAATGAGGCGCTCTCGAACAAAGTGCGAGAGGGAGACCATGAAATTGCCTACCTTGCGTCCTCCTTGCCGTAGTAGAGTTCGAAGTTGGCAGGGGATAGCTCGAGGGTGCCGCTGCAATAGGGAGATCGCGCGGTCAAGGTTTCCCGTAAACGACGCAGTAGGGAGAGCGCAGTTGATTCAGTCATATTCTACCGGTCGAGTGGCTGGACACGCAGGAGAGGAGAGGAGTTCTGAGCTCCCATCCCAACCGCTAGGCCTTTTTATGTCGGTCGCAGTAGCGGAGATTTTTCCAGAGGCGAACGTGTCCGAGGCGTGTGTCCGACATGTGCTGACCGTGTCTTCCTCCTTTGGGCGATATGAGTCGCGATGGGAGCAGAATGTCCACAACATGGATCCACAAAGACAGAGCATCCGTGTCGGGTATTTGCACTTTTTGAACACGTAATAGTCAAACTCTCCCATCACATTCATATATGGCTGGATGACTCGACTTCTCCCAACATGCGGCATGCTATAGCTCAGCTGCTCAACTCCGATAGTGATATTCGTCGGGCGAGTCCTTCCGAGACGCCTTGCCCGTTTCATCAGCACTGACTCCTTCGTAGTCTGCACCCAGTCTATCGGTATCCGAGAAATGCAAATGAGATCCACTCTCAGAGGTAGCGGCATGCGGACAAGAACAGCGGCTTCCAGAATGGGCTGCACGTTCGCCGTCTTCCTCGCCAGCCGCCTGGTCAGGGGCATTTAGGAGCGCTCGCATCTACGCATCTCCTGCTCACAGGTGGTCTTAGATGGTGGCTGTCCCCTTACGGACATTACCCAAGATCCAAGCGAATCGCTACTTCGTCGCCAAACAAGAGCGAGCGCTCCTCACACCTGTCCTTCGCCAGCACGACTTGCTGACGGTTGCTCTCAAGAGCGGCAGAGTCTGGTATCTGGAGCGCATCGGAACTGGTGGATGCTGATGCGGCAGGTAGCTTAGGCGGTTACGATGACGTACTAACGGAGTTCGCAAGAGTCGTAGGTCGTATTCAGTGTCCGAGTCGCGGACCACGATGATCATAGTCACGACAAAACATCTGCATTGGATTTCCCGGTTGCTCCTCATGTAGATTTGAGTAATAGAGAGGACTGAGCCCGCCACATAACTGGACATATGGAACCTTACCCGATCCCCAAACCAACAACTACGCATACAGCCGAAATTACGAACATTCACACCATGATCCTCGCAAGATATTAGGGCGAGGATACCCACCGACGTCCAAGCCGCTCACTGATCGTCAGACGAGAGAGCATCGTATGTCGGGCAGAGGTCTGACCACGACTTTGGCACGGGGTTGGCGGCCTTAATATCGGAGACGTCCTCTGCAAAGACGACGGCGAAGCCAGCGTCGAGGTGGAAGTCGATATGACAATGGAGGAACCAAGGGCCAGGGTTGTCCGTCTGAAAGCGAATGGTGACACTGTCGTTAGCTGCGGGCGTGCCGGTTGACACGACGTCGCGCCAGACGGGGTCAATGTAGTTGTACTTCTGTGAGCCCGCACTGCGCACCACGGCGAAGGCATGCTGTTGAGAGTAAGATGCTGTGAATATAACTCCTATATGGGGAACGGATGGCAACAGGACGTACGCCGTGGAGGTGAAAGGGATGGGGAGCACCAGGGGCGTTCAACGTGGCGGGTAAAGTGAGTTCAATGGATGCGTCCCTAGGAAGTTCGTAGACACTGCCGGCTGGCAGGAGGTCCGTGGCAGACTGCGCCCCGCTGATGATCTGAAGCAGGACAGGGACAGTGGGAGGCACGAAGGTAGCGTTGTTAATGAAGAAATTGGTGCCGTTGAAGTTGAAGGCCAAATTGATAGCTTTGTCGACACCTCCCTGGAAAGGGAGACCAGGCTGGAGGGACAACGATGTTGGGCATATCAATATCTGGTTCCTTCGAACCGACTGGTTACGCACTGTTATTCTCGGGATGAGAGGGTGGAGATCAACCTCGTCAAGGAGGTCCTCAGTCGACTGCTGGGACGTCGTAGGCTCTACTGTTGCGGCCCCTTGATAGCGTAGGATGGCCGAGTTGATGCCATCTGCGAAGCCCACATTACCGAAATTCGGGTTGGCCCGGATCCAGTAATTGTCCACGGTCTGGTTCGCTGTAAGCTAGACGAGCCCGTGAGCCTCGGCTTCCACGCAGACTGAGCTTGGTAGAATGCTCACAATAAACGAATAGCGTTGAGCAGCGAATATCTGAATGGCGTTGACCGTGACCGGATCAGTCTCGATGCCATCAACTTCGATGACAGATAGATCGTGATTGTCAATGCTGAAGACGTAGTTCGGATCGCAGGACAGAGACACAAGGCGGAAGCGATAGCTATTACTGACTGTTAGCTCAATGTCAAGACATCTGAAACATATACGCACCGCTTGCCATGCGAGACCGGGATCACGGCGAGATCAGCGGTCGGCGTGCTGGGGCTCCGGCCAAGACCATTGATAAGGGTAGCATCAGAACCGAACCTTGTTGCCATACAAGCAATGAGTCACGTAAATCTGTGAAAAAAGCTACCAAAACGCACGGGAAGCGGGGTCCAAGTCTGGCGGCAACGTGGTACCAGTCCGCAATGGTGATGACGGTGGAGGCTACGCCACATGAACATCAGAATTTACACAAACCACATGCAGGTTCAGCGTACTACTGACCGTCGTCAACATCATATAGCAGGCGAAGAGGGTCAAGAGGATCATATACGACGAAGGGACCTCTCAGACCATCGCAGTATTGCGTAGACAGATGACTGTGGTACCAGAAGGTCCCTGCATGGGTGGGGTTAGGTATCAGTACCCCTTCAATCACATCTATCGCTGGACTTTCGACTTACCAGCCTGATCGGGCACATGAAAGTCGTACAGGAACGAGTTACCACTAGAAATCGGGCATTGGTTCACGAAGGCAGGGCCATCTGCCCAATTTGTGCCTTTCTGGAAGAAACCGTGCCAGTGCTGCGGGAGAACATCAAACTCGTGAAGAGAAAGAGCAAAGGAAGGAATTTACGATACTAGTGGACTTCAGCATCGTATGGTTCGTCAGCTTGTCTATGACATTGAGTTGGAAGCGATCACCCTATCGTACTAAACGTCAGTTTGTAGTCAAAGGAGGGAATGTAAGTGAAGGGCAGACCCTGTTGCCAGTGATGAGCGGTCCAGGGAAGACACCGTTCACCACAATGGCAGCACGAGTAAAGCCATCTGGGGCGATGTCGGCGTTATAAATGGTCAAGTCGGCAACAGGTCCAATGCTTGCATACGCGGAGGCAGCACAGAGGACGGTGATATAGTAAATCCACTGAAACTTGGCCATAGCGAGGGAGGGAGAGGGGACCGCACAAGGGCCTGATGGAGACCGGGGCTTGAGGAGGCAACACTTCCTCGGCACATCCTTTATGAGTGCCAGGGCGTCAGGGGCGTCGATATCCTGTACGTCGCGAATTTGGTGGCTGCTCTTCGTTGCTGCCTTACCAGGGCATATCACGTCCACTTCTGCCATAGTCTGGAGTTACTCGCCTCCGCCCTGAAAGGCGGTGTTCAGTATGCGTGAGAGCATGCACACCTTGCATCGGGCATACCTAGGTGCCCATGGAGCCTTCTCGTGGTTCTCACTGACCGTCGGGAATTACGACCTTCCAAATCGGCAAAGGTGAGAACCGCTGAAAGGTGACCCGATGGCATCGGTTCGTTAGAGAGCTAGACTAGGCGACCTTTGGGTGTCTGACACCGTGGGATCAAGGATTGGGATGCATGGAATAGAGACTCTCAACCGGTCCTCTTGAGGAGTTACATCTTACCGCGCTACATGCGCACTTTTCGCGACCTCAAGACGGGATCCAGAGACATACGGCGCATTGCGATCTTGACCTTGACGAACCGCAAGTGCAAGGTAGCTGCTGATGGTTCGGGTCCAAAAAGAGCCACAGTATGCGTGTTGGAGTTCGTCAGCAGCTGTGGCACGTACTACGAACCCCCAAAGCTTGCGAGACTACTGTCCGCTTGAGCAACGATATGAGAATCGTCTTAGGCGTGCAATGGAAGTCGAGACTCCAGTGTTAGGCTTAGCAGAAGCCGTCGTCAGGGACAAGAACAGGGGTGGATGCTGAGCCTGAGGCCTGGGTATCGACATGACTCCGCACGGTTTGAAGGGGTCTTCTCGTAAAGGCGGCCCTGGTTGAAGCAAGCGGACGGGCTGCCATAGAGGGACCCCTCTGGCGTCTATCTCGACGTGTCATGGGCGTCTGCGATGATACGTTGCTGGGATTCCTTTGAACAGCCAGCTCGATGTCCTTTCCGCCTCATTGACAAGCTACAGCTGACGCTTACCAGTGCGCCATCGCTCATCTACAAACCTTGCCGGACTGTGGTGTGTAATACTCTTTTTATGGGGGTATGTGACTGCTATCGTTCCTCTCCGATGATTCTTCGCCTGCCTCTTAGCCTCCAGGTCAAATGGCATCGCGATCCGTTATGTAAGTAAATACCGAGTATGACAGGCGATGGTCTCGTCATAACGCTTAATGCCTGTTGTAGGGACTCACATGCCAATATAGAGAGACTCGGGTCGTCGATACTCTCATCATCATTGGCGCTAGGATCTGGATTTGCTCTGCATCCTACGTATACGTACTGATATTCTCAACGTTTCAGCCATGACCTCAACTCGCTGTCTAGGTACCCCTCATGAATTGCCTCCGTTTGAGGACAAGGTTGACAAGGTCCACTCAGACACAAGTCTGCCGCTCGACAGTGGACGTATGGGATCCGAGTCGTATATGAATTCTACCGGTATCCTGTATACTGTGCAGGGCGCTGCTGCCCGCACGGAAAGGTTCTATGTGATCTGCCTAGTATGCAAGGCAGCTACACGAGTGACTGTAGCTCGCTGATTGAGTGATCCGCTCAAATCCCCTGTCTCCCTTTCCCTCGGATGGCCGGTTTCAAACCCCCTTCTCCTCGTCCAGGCACACTAGCGCGTCTGCGCAAGTCTTCTGCCAAGCAGCGTCAGTCGAAGCACTAGTTCTGGATCTTCCTCTCTACGGCCAGGGCCCTACTCGTGCGACGGTCGTGGCAGCGAGTCGGCGCTTTGCCTGCCGCCATTGGACATTCCGAGTCACTGATCCTTGGCCAGGTCTAACTAGGTCCGGCTCTCTTCCCTTTTGTGCACGACGACTTCCCCTTGTTGCATCCCACCGTTCCAGACATTTCGGCCAAACCGACACTTGGACCGTCTCATCTGCAATTTTCCACGAATGACCCCACCCAATCAGCGCGGCGCTGGCCGCCCATATGTCTCGCCCAGGTACCGAGGTCTCGTCCGCTCCCAAGTGTCAAAGAGAGTAACTTACTACGGCCATTGCTGTCAACCTGCGACGCAGTGCACAGATTCCCATAACCTGTACAACTCAACAACTCAGCGCAGCTCCAGCTGAGAAGGCGCATGTATCGTTTTGTAACATATTCGTCATGCTGTCGATGATAGACGTGCAAGCTCGGCGGAGAGTGTCTCAAGGTGAATGTCGAATTCGAGGGAACACACGTTACAGATTGCCGTCAGTCCCTATCTGTGAAACTATGGCTACCAGATGACTGATAGGCATATAGTCTCATGACGCAGGGCCGAAGTTCGAACATCTCGACTGCAGGAAGAGATGGGGATCCCGCCGTGAAGAACTACTATTTTGACGTTCCAATTCCTTGATCGCCTGTGACATTACACGGCCATTCGCCATTGAAACACCGAAGGCCTTCCATCAAGATAGACGATATGCCACCTAGATTCGTCTACATTGATCGATCATGTTTGCAGAAGAACTGCTAGCTGCGTATGAGAAGCAGTGCACTGCAAGATTACTCTCGCTTCCTTGCTACGCTCAACGAGTCGGGCTCAAGTGAATTGATGTGTTCGATGATCATTGTATGTACTATTTGACTTCGTGTCCCGCCACTTATTGGTTGATGATAGTTTCCTTATTGTCATCTGTTTACCAGGTTGCTTCAACTTCTCCTATCCCCAACTATGTCTAGGGTATATGCCAAGAGTCTGGTCGCGTCAGAGCCGGTGTAGTAAGCCTCAGCGGCGGTGATGCACTTCGTGTGTACTTTACGGAATGCTCAGGTGTGATACGCCACAAGTCATGACCGTCACAACCATAGGAATCTCCCTTTCATCAGATCTTAATCCTTTTGTAGACGTCAGGCTAGTGGCGTTAACGTCCATCAATCCCTATCACAAACTGTCTGTCGCATTGCGCTCGTTCTCCGGGATGGATAGCATTCGACTGCGCAGGTATGATCCCCCTTATTGCCACTGTTGGACTGCGCATGCCACGCCAGAGATCCCTCAGATATACATTCGGCCGAGTTATACGAGCCTGTACAATACCGTACATATACAAGCTAGCTCTACGTCTCCTTTCCTAGTATCCGGTCAATATCATAGTCGTGCAAATCGCTGGTCGTGGGATTAGGAAGCGTACTATGTGGTTTCTACTCTTGTACGAACCTTGCTATGCATGGTGCGCCCCGAGCCTTCTCACGAAGCGCCATCACTTTGAGGGCGAATTCCAAGCCAAGCTCTTTGACGTCGTCCATGGTGAGTGGTTCTGTACGCACCGCCACCTCCTTCAGTGCAGGCAAGAACCACTCCTTAACGTCGTATTGTCTCGATATGCGAAGACGAGTCATGCAATCCTGTGATTTCAAATACTTAAGGGCCAGGGCCCTTAGCTTCGGAAAGTCCCACAAGGACGCGAGCTTGAGGACAGGTAACCACGAGGTAGGTATGAATCGTATGGAGGTGCCGTCACCAGCTGCTAAAAGCCTAGTACACCCTCATAGCATCAGCGCGGCTTATGAAAACACATACTATTATACATACCTGCAAGACAAGACTCTCAGGAACTCCCTGAGGTCGTCTGCTTTGATGCTCTCTAGGAAAAGAGGGTAGTCCTCGCTTGATCCCTCTCGAGGCGAATCGGACGTCGCCGGAAGGGTAAACAGTCCTTCCCACACCTCGGACTTCTCAAAGTAATGACGAGGTACGCAAAAAAGAGTGCCCTCGGCCTAGACAAACATAGTGTTGGCTTGTAGCTGACGTGCTACAAGGCATGATCTCTATGGTACTGACTTACTCGGAGGTAAAGCGGCTTGACGTCGATGAAGAAATCATTGTCTCGCGTATAGGAGTGAGGCTCCATTACTGCGATGCTTTTGTCCGACGACTGAGACATGTTGGACGAGTACAGGTTAAAGGGCGTGAAAGTCAGCCACCGTCACTCGCGATGTACTTATCAGATGACCCTGTGCTGCGGTAGCTGCCCAGCGCTAGAGCGCTGGAGTCTGAGGCGGCTCGCAGCGCATCAACATCAACGCGCTTCTACTTGCCCTTACGTATGCACTCTGGACCACTCGCTGTTGCTACATACGAGCGCACGAAGACAGATGATTGGAACAGGATTGTATATAGTACGAGTCACAGCAGCACCAACGATACAGCAAGATGAACGCGCACAGCTAGTACAAGCGCGCATGCGCACAATTCTACAAGCAGCAACCAGATGAAGTCTACAATATCACAGCATCACCGAATCCTACACACACGAAGGCCATTACTCGCACCCGTCCTCGCATACACCGCACGACACTCACGGAGTCCGTGCCACCTCCCAACAAGCACGGGCCGGATAAGCACCGACGACCGACCAGGCACGCACGTTCGCACGTACTATGCCCGTCCTTTGCCGTGTGGAATAACTGTCTGAAGCGTCGGCACGTCGCTCTTGCTCGCCGAGTGCGCGTGACCCGGTTTGTTCCCAGGGGTCGGTGCAACGAGCGTCGGCACTGCGGCCACGCTCTCCGCATCTTCCATTCCGACGATGTCGTCCACCGGCTTCATCGCGTCCACGTCCGGCGATGGGACCTGCACGTTCTCCTTTCCGCCCTGTGTCGCGGTCTGGGCGAGCGCGGCTTCGGCTTGGGAATCTGCTGCCACCTGTTGGGCTTGTCTTCTCCGCCGTGCCTCTTCTTCCTCTGCGCGACGAATGACGTCGATCTCACCCTGTACGACGATACCGTCGAGCCAGGCGTGGTGGATGAGCTCGGACGCCTTCGCACGCTTGTCAGGGTTGAGGCGAAGCATCGGGGTGAGGAACGACGCGATCATGTCCGCCTCCTCTTTCGGGAGGAGGTACTTGTCGTGCAGCACGGCGTCTAACGGCCAGAATCGCAACTTCTGAATATGTCGCAATTCACCTGCGCGATCGCGAATATGGCGAATTGTGGATCCAGAGAGAGAAGTAGCGGCAGAGCAGCGGGTGCATAGCCACAATGCGGCAGAACGGCGTATGCGATCGAAGGGGATAAACAAGATCAACGTTCGCTACTAACGCACGAGACAAGAGAACGGCACGGACCTCTCCGGTTGAAAAAGTCGGAGCTGTACTTGCCCGAGAACGCGAGGCTCTTCGGGAACTCGCCCATGAGCTCGATGATTTGCGCGATATGGTCGTCGTCCTTGCTGTATCGCGAGCCAGACGCTGGATCAAATAAGTAGTCGCCCCCCGTTATGAGTTCGAAGATCTACCCAGCCAAGCGGACGAGATCAGAGATTCGAACGCGGACACCACGACACAAGGCGACACAGCACGCGAGCGACAAACGAGCACCTACAATGCAGGCCACGCTCCAGATGTCCGCGCTTGGCCCCCACTTCGCGCCGAGTATAACCTCTGGACAACGGTACTGCCGCGTCTGGATATCGTCCGTGAAGTGGTGCTCCACCCACGTTGCTGGAACGCACGCGCACGTGTCAGCACCCATAACTTGTACCGCGTATGCAAAGCACGCAAAGTCAAGACGCACCATTACCCAGGTCCGCGATCTTGACCGTGATCTTCTCTGGACCCTCGTATACAGGTCCTCCGATTCCATCTACAGACATAGCGCTCGTCGACAGCGGCGGATCCGCAGCGTCCATCGGCTCGTCAGTAGTACTTGAAGCGTACGCCGGCGGGGCCGACGTAGCCTGCACGTGCGGCTGAGAAGAGCTTGCGCCCGCAACGGCGGGGGCCTGCTGAGAGAGCAACGATGGCCCCGCCAGCTTCGCCTTGGGATCTGGACGCGTCTTCTCTCCAAAAGGTGACCCGTCTAGCGTGACGTTCTGTATCCGCTCCGCTGTATCCTCTGCAGAGTCTGCGCGCTGCTTCTCCCTGTCGCTCGGTTCCTGCTCGTCGCTGTGCGCCTTGACCTTGTTCGAGCTCCCGACGCTCCCCGGGCCGCTCGCTCCATCGCCATCTTCAATTTTGCTCATCCCGAACGCCCACCGGTCGAGGTGAGAGGTGGAACCGAAGGAGGAGGACGGAGAGGGGAGCGGCTGGGAGCCGGTGATGAAGACGGATTCAGAGCGGGGCGTCTGGTTACCGCCCCGCCCGCGTGAAGGGGGAACACCGACTAGGCGCGTCGGTGGTGGGGTTTGGGAGGCCGACTGCGCCTGCAGCTCTGCCTGAATGACAGATTCGACGTCTTCAATGCAGATCAGGACGTTCTCGGGCTTGAGATCTGCAGAAGCACGCAGACATCAGCTCTGCCGTACCAACCGCTGCGGGGGCATTCCTTAAGCTCGCCTGTGTGAATGACACCACAACAACGATGCATGTAATCGAGGCCTAGGAGGATCTGCTTCGCGATCTGCCTGACCAAGTGCATGGGGACGCCCTTGTTCTGATGGCGCTTGATCAGACCAAGCAGGTTCTCGCCGAGTACCTCGAACACCATGCAGACGTGCGTGCCGTTTGGGCCTTTGTGTCGGAAATGGTCGAGGAAGGAGATGACATGTGATCGACCGGGATGCGTTTGAGACGGTGATGGAGGGGGGTTTGGGTTCTCGGAGGTGGCTTGCACAGGTGGGGTTGAGGAGGTGATCAATCGCTGAAGGAGCTTTATCTCGTCGAGTGCAGTCTCGGTGTAGCGTGGAGCAGACTTGACAACCTTGAGTGCCACGTGCCTGTTCAGCCTGCAAGTAGAGTGGTTAGCACCGCCAACCTATTGTACAAGCCTGGCCACGATAGCCTATGCGGATGCGCAATTGAACACGTCGTCACGGCTCGGAACTTGCCCTCCTTGAATGCGTCATGCTCTGTGAGCATGTCGCTGGCAACAAGTAACCATTCACAACCGACAATGGGTAAATCGCTGCAGTATTTGGCAGGAAGGCTCGTGTTGCGAGAATGACAACATTCACGGACCACGCGACCGCACCGTCTAGAAGATGGCGCTACCTAGCCATATCGGGAAAATACCAGCGAATAACTCGGCAGAGACGAGAGGGCACAGTGAACGCGAGGGGCGCAGAATGAGGACGGACAGGAAGGGTGAGAGCGCGCACGCGGCGTGGAGCGAATGAAGTGCTCATGCTCGCGAAGTCTTGCGACTACGCACCGACGGGGAGGAAGCGCTGCGGGAGTCTAATGGACAGCCTGCATGGCTTGATCGGCCCTCCAAGCCCTACCTCAGCTTTATGGTTTGCCTCTGACGAGTTGGATGACGCTGAGGAGGGGAGGTAAAGATAGAATGCTTGTCAGGAAGGCGAGGGACGCTGCGGCAGGCGGAGGAGACTCGGGAAGCGCGCCCAACAATTACAAGACGGCGCGAATGCATGCAGCGAAAATCACGCGCATATCGATGCGCGCAATCGTAATGCACCGCGAAGCAGCGGCCAAAACTGCGGTAGAGGTGCGCCTGAAGCGTCAGCACCTCCCCACAAGCTCGACGGCGGCGTGCGGTGGGTAGTCGGGCGCGCATAGGGCTCGTGTGCGGGGTTGCCTTGAGGGCGTATGTCGCGAGTATGGGGCGGAGCAGGAATACGGAAGGAAAAGGATAGATATAGGATAGATATCAAGGGAAGAGAAAGCGCTCACTTGGTGTCCTTCGCCAACCATACTGTTGAAAAATGGCCCCAGCCAAGCTTGCGGACGACGAGATATCTGCCGTCGGAGAAGGTGTCGCCGATGTGTACGGGGTGGTACCCGCCCTTGACGTAGTCCTCCCAATCCTCTTCGTCCTCGGTCATGACAGAATGAGAGTGAGAAGAGTCGTAGGAGCCAGCGTGTGACATATTGACCGAAGGGCTATCGCTCGCTGAGTGGACCTGCGGTGATGCAGAGATAAGGGCGCGGCATGGAGATAAGGTTGCTTACGACGCACAGTTTCCGCGTGAGATGACTTCGCTTTCTGCCTTCGTGCCTATTAGAGCCTCGCCGGGAACAGGGTTGGCCGTTTGGGCGGGATACTGGGCGATGTCTGTGCGACGGAGGGAGGAGTATGTTGGCGAGAGGGACTTGGGATGCGCGCGCGTCCAGCGAGTGGTAAACATCTCCCGATTAGGCAAGTGCCCGCGGATTGCGCGGCTGCTGATTGGCTCGCCCCGCTTAATCTCCTCCTCCGGATATCATACACTCCTCCGCGTGCCTATCGCGCCGCACAGTATGCTATGTCCCTGCTGCCACATAGTCCGTCAGGCAATCCTCCAAACCACAACCTCCACATTGACAACGCATAGCCCGCTTCCAACGCCAGATCCGCCTGCACCCGGAGCAGAGATCACACAATTCCTCCCAACGTTCAAGCCAGGACGCCAACCTTGCTCCGGCCATCGAGACCGACCACACGGTCTGTGCTGACAATGACCCACACGCCCGGTCCATAGTCGCGCGACTCCGCCATCCTCGCTGTCTCTTGATCGTGTGTCCGCCGTATCGCTGCGCACTTGGCGCATCCGTTAGAGACCCGCGCCGCGTGCATGTCTGCAATGCTCTCGGAGAACGGGACGCCTTGGGTAACATGATCCTCCCTGTACGTCCAGAAACCTCTGGGCAGGCTTCTCACGTCTTCTCTACGTCCTTCCCCCGTTTCATATCGCGACCCCGTTGCCCACGTTGCTTCATAAAGATCCAGGTCCGGGCAGCTCACGGATGCGACCGCCAAGGGTGCTGCGCGACGGCGTCTCTTGCGAGACCAAGGTACTTGCAGAGCAGAACCCTTGTTCAGCATGACAAAAGCTCGACAACCACATGCCCAATCCTATTCCGAAGTCCGTTCAACGAGCAACAAATTACATAAGTCCGTGACTATGCACTTCTACCTCGAACACATTCTCTAGCTCCGTCCTGCAGAGCGCAACGAGCCACAGGTATCCGAGGGACAGCCTTTGTGGTGCGAAACCGAGTCCTGCGCCCGCAACGTTTTGGGGGAAGCACGTCTCCTGTACAGACATTTTTCTGTCAATACACACTCTTTGAACGATGCGAGGATCAGCTCACCGGCTCAAGGGACGCGCATTTCCTTAGCGCCTTGGCTATGCTCAACGCAAGGCCTAGCATTGTCGTCTCAAAACTTGTGAGGTCAGTTGCTATGTGATGCTCTTGCGGCAGGCCTGGACATGCAGGCCACTGGCCAAACACCGTGAGCTGGTGTCTTCTAAGTGAGTCGGCAGCGCTCACCCTCAACCTCAGCGTTATAAAGCATGTCCTGCTCTCCAACAATAGGGTCGGTATCCGTTTGTATGGGTGCTCTACCACATTCACCAAGGCGCCCAAAGTCTCGTTGAGCAAGAAGCTGATTGGTACGCCTTCTTTGCCTTGGATACGTTTCGCGAGATTGAAGCTAACAGCCCTGCCAACTCCTAGACCGTACCGGGGTAATTTCCTGTGTACATATTCGTCAAGGTCGATACTCGGCCTGCCGACATAGCGTGCCAGTGGACTTCGAACGCTTGTAGAGTATAAGACTTGAATCTCAGCAGGTCGGTCATCCCACACAGTGGCGTTGGGTGGCCAGGGCAGTGGTTGGGTACGATGGCGCAGAGGAAGATGTGTTGGATGGTTCGACGAGCGAGAAGATGCGGTCGTATAGATGACCTCCGACTCTGCGGCTTTCCATTGTCGGTCATGGTCACATGTGGTCCTGTCGCGATCTTTCAAGGAGAACCCAGGTAGAGGAGTGGCGGTGTAGGGGTCCATTACTGAGAGGTGTGCGAGGTGGAGCTGGAATTCCCTTGATTCCATATTCGATCACAGTACTATAAGAATCGGATAGTGTGTCAAAGCGCGAACATGCTCTGTTGTGAACGCGCTTTGTCCGGGGTGTGGCTCGGGTCTGATGGGGCCACTGGTACGCAAAGCGGGGAAGAGATCTTGCTCACGGTCCTTTCGATTATACATGAATACCGTGCGCATACTGATATCGCCCTCGTCGTCCTGATGTACGACTGGTGCGCCGCTTTGTAGCGCCAAGTACAATAGGCCTCCTTCCATACTCGGTCAGGCACGAAGCCCTTGCGCATGTATACACCCGCTATCGGCTAGCTCGTGTCAGAGTGGTACGGCACAGGAACCGAGTGCCTTACGGCAATTACGCACAGCGTCGACACTTAGTAGTCGTTATGTTGCTGCTTGATTGACTAACGCAGGCTTAGCGCCGTTAACGAACGTGGGACACTGCGAGTATACGGTAACCGAAGGAGTATAGACTGAGGTTACTACGTCTTGAAAGGGATTGTGCGACTGTACGCAGTGAGAGACAGAAGTACTCTAGTCGCATTGGTGCGTCAGGCTTGGCTATAGCCAGTCACACTCAACTGCATTGATCAAGATAAACTGCAAGCATTGGATTACGAGTGACCCTCCGCAGCGGCACTACGATTACCGGACGGCAAAACTAACTTTGAGGACCATTTCCGGCTTGGGGCTTGTGTAACCCATCGACGGATAGTTGATACCGGCGAAGTTCCATGTGATCGGCTTTTCCGGAAGCTCGAACTTGAAATTATCGACGAGCATGGACAGAACACTTTCTGAGCGCAGTAACGTGCATGTCAATCATATAACAACAGTCGCGAGTAGTGGTAAGTAACACGCACTCATCTCGAGCTGTGAGAACTTGAAACCGCTGCATCGTACAGCATTGGTTAGCAGCGGGTAGGGCGCCATTGGCACGAGGACTTACATGCAAGCATATCCTCCCGCGAGGAAAGTCATCCTGGCAAAAACCGCATAACGTCAGGACAGTTGTGAAGACCGAGATGCATCAATGTAACACCCACGTGTTAGCATATATCCCAGGGATATGAGCCTCCTCGACGGACCGAGGCAGCGGCTGCAGCCATCGTTCAGGCTTCCACTTGCATCCGTCCTCGCCCCATATAGCTTTGTTGGTATTACAAGCGGGCAGGTTCGCGATCACGGTCGTGCCCTTCGGCACTGGGACCTCCGTCATTATCGTCCCATCGATAGCATGGATTGGCTCGAGTAGCGGGAGCATCGTATCGCGCCACGCTCTAAAAGGTCACCTCAAATGAATGGGTGGTCGCCGCGGAAGTCTGCACAGCACTCACTGTCTGATTGAGATGTTTACTGGGGCGAAGCTAACGCACCATTAGAAGACAGCACACCCGACAAACTTAGTTGGCGAGACTCACAGACGCAACGTCTCCCGGCAGACCGCGTCGAGGTACGGCAATGCTGTTAGTTCGTCATACGGGATTTCAGCACCGTAATGCTCGATTGCTGCACGTAACTCTGCGCGGAGATTGTCCTGCACGTCCTGATGCTGACATAGAAGATGCAGTATGCGCGATACCGCGTTCGACGTAGTGTCAACACCGGCAAAGATGAAAGTGCTGTAGTAATGGGAGCCCGTATGGGTATCAATCAACGGGAGTGCTAGATGACTTGGGGCCCGCTGACTTTAATTGCGCTAACAGCTCGTCATCGGGAAGCCTATCTTCGTCGGCGGCTTTCATGTTTTCCTTCACTGGTGTCGATTTTTAGAGGGTCGCTATAGTAGATGCAAGAGGAGAAACGTACATAAGATACTAAGCATGTCCTTCCCTTCTCCGACAGCGTGGACAACATCTCTGTCTCCGTGTTCGATGGCTGCCTTCTTCTCGTTATAGATCTGCCTTGAACGCTCGTGCATCACATCGCTGATTGTCTTCATACGCTGGATAGATTTGATAGGCAAGCGATCGAGCATGAAACGGCGGAACGATGCGGGACCAAGCTTCACTGTGACCGGTACCAGTGCTCTTGCCCACTGAACCTCAGCGAAGGTCGGTCTAGAAGTGAAAGTGAGTTCCGCAGATTGCGTAAATGATGGCGATAGTGCGTACGAACACGAATGCTTTGACGGCTTCAGCGAAGTCGTTGTGCACTTCTTCAACCAGTGGATCAAAAGAGTATCCCATCATACCCTGTCCGACCAGCTCCAGTGCAGTGCGACCCATCCAGGCAAGAATGTCGATTTCCTGCAAGCCATTGATGACGCGGGCCTCAAGACCGACCTTCAGCTGAGAGAAGATCATTCGCCCTTGAGCCAATTGATGCGTATAGATACTTCGACGGAGTCACCTTTCCAGTGATGCGGTAGAAGATCGGTGCCAATCCGCGTATATGAGCCGCGGAGAACGCAGGATTGAGCGATTTACGCTGTTTCCTATGTTTCTGTCCGAAGGTGGACAAAAGGCCTGGCCCAAATAGCAATGTGTTTGTACTTAGTACAGAAAGTTAGTCGGAAACATAGGTTCACGACCGTCGCGACGGGGATAACGCACAGGATGGTTCGGGGGCCTCTGCTGTAACTCTCCTGGTCCTTGACATATATTGAATGAAGAGCCTTAGGATCGTACACGTGTAACCACCGAGCCTAAGGTTCTCCGCAGATATAGGTGCTGAAATCGAGTGTGAGAGAAGGAGTGTAACATACCCCAAAGAAGCCATTGATCTTCGCAACCGGGCCGTAACTATCGAGAAACCCCGTGAGCCATTCCGCATTGTCGCGAGCCAAGAGCTGCTCCACATTGCCTGCCACAAACGGAGTGAGACTCGCGTTGTGTCGCCATCAGTGCACCGTACCTGAGAAGACCGATCCAGATGGGGGACCCGGAATCCTGTCGACTGGAGTACGCACGATATAATTCCTGATGAGAAGCCACAGAAGACGGAGGGCACCCAGAGAGACAGCCAAGACGAGCAGCTGGGTCATGGCAGATATCGGATGGTGAAGACGACAAGGTTCACGTTCAGCGTGCGAAGTGCTTCTGCAAGTCGACGAACTGCGCCCGGCGCTGTCTCTCTATGTCCGAAATGTCAAAACCGGTTGCGTGCATGCTGATGCGGAACGAGCGTTTCACGAGAATGACTAGTAGCAGCGACCGACCACTCGATACGATTCCTACCGTCTCTCAATGACGATCGGAACAAGGGCGCGGCGAGACTCTTCGCTGTAGTCGATGAAGGGGCAGCAACATCACTACTTAGTACTTAGTCACGGTATAGTCGGTTAGTACTTGCGCGCCAGCACGTTGCCTCAGCGTCTATACGCACTTCTGCCTCGGCGCCAACTCGGCAGGGATTCACCAGCTTCAGGCTAATTGAAGCCACTCGCCCGAATACCTACCAGTCTTGTACTTGGTCCAGGAGAGCCGTATCACTTCGATAGGTTATCCAAGATGGGAGATCCAATTACAACGCATACTACACTAGCGGCATGCACCATGCAATTACAGTATTCTAGAAGTTCGAACTACTAGCTTGATATTCCTTACTAGGCGGCAGCCGCAACGAATTTCAGAGCTTCCTGTCGGCCTCGTCGTAATCCTTAGAGGGTCAAGGATTCCAAAAACTCATCCTGAGGGTCATTTCGGGCTCGTTGCCTGAATAACTACTTGCCGAGTAGGGAACTCCTTCGAAATTACACACTATCGGCTTCTCGGAAAGCTCGAACTTGAAGGATGACACTAAAATCGCAAGTGCCACCTCTGTAGCATCCATTCAGTCCATCTCAAGGCTGCACGGGATCCATGCGAAGGAAGTACTCATTTCGAGCTGTGCGTATTTGAAGCCGCTGGTATATGGTCAAATTGCGTCAGCGCACCCATCACAGGCCCACGTATAGACATCGAATCTCACATGCAAGCATGACTCCCAGCAAGGAACGACATCCTAAGTCAACGCAAGATGCTCAATCGACGGAAATAAGGACAGGCAACGGATGCCACCTACAGATTCGAGTATGTTCCAGGGACACGAGCATCCTCTACGGCTTGAGGTAATGGCTGGAGCCATCTCTCTGGCTTCCATTCTAGGGCGTCCTCCCCCCACAAGGCCTTGTTGGTATTGCATGCACGGATATAAGACCATAAGATAGTACCCTTAGGTACGAGGATCTCATACAAGAGCGTCCCATCGACACCACAGACTGGCTCGGAGAATGGGAGGACGGTATCCATTCGAGCCCTAGTTCACGCCCGGCGATTAGCTATGAAGATTCCTCAGAATCATTAGACCTATATGCACTTACTCTCTGACGGATAGGTACGCCGTAGGGTATCTATCGCCCACGGAAAACAGTTCAGAAGCCAAGCGAAGTACAAGCCGAGACATGCACACTTACAGACGCAGTGTCTCGCGACAAACAGCATCCAGATAAGGCAGCTGCGAAAGCTCATCATACGGGATCAAAGGACCGTACTGTTCAAACGCCGCTGTGACTTCAGAACGAAGTTCACTTTGGACGTCTCGATGCTGACAGAGCTGATGTAGAATACGTGACAACGTGGTAGCCGTAGTGTCCACTCCAGCGATGATGAACGTGCTAGGTGTGCCGCAAAGTTCGTGATCAGATGACTCGGTGCCAAAGCTTCGCACACACCCTATCTGAGCCAAAATTTCTTCATCAGGGATCTTGTCCTCATCGGCAGCGTTCATGTTCTCTCTCACTGAACAAATGTTATGATGGCATGAAAAGAGACGGTATATCGTGGGGCTTACGGAAGATGCTCATCATATCATTTCGTTCTCCGACGGTATGCAACGACTCCTGATCCCCGCGGGCGACTGCCGCTCTCTTCGCCTCGAGTATTCCTTTCGCCTTGTCATATAACGTGTCACATACATTCTTGACGCGCTGGACGGATTTGATGGGCAGCACATCAAGAACGCGCCGGCGAAACCACGCCGGTCCAAGGTAGCCGAGAAAGGGGATGATGACTGCCCAGTTACGGGCCTCCGTAGTGGCAGGTCTGGGTAGAGAGGGGCACGATGATCAGTGCTCACACGGATAGCAAGATCGGCTTTAATTAGACAAACATGAGATCCTTGAACGCCTTTGCGTATGCGTCTTCCGAATCGGACACCAGGGGATCAAACGAGTACCCAAGGATCCCCGTCCAACGAGCTCCATGGAAGCGCGCTTCATCCAACCAAGTATCTCGATATCCCTCGGACCATCCTTGACCTGTCTCTCGACTGCGGTTCTGAGCTACTTCTTGTCATCAGACAAAGTTTGGATGAGAAAACGTGGCCACGACATCCCACCTTTCCGACAATATCGAAAAACAGCGGGGTCAATTCGCGCATGTGGGGCGTGGAGAACGCCGGATTCAATATCTTGCGCTGCTTCTTGTGCTTTTCGCCATAGGCCGACAAGAGTCCAGGCCCGATAGTCAAATCGCCGGTTCTGCGATTGCCCTTCAGCGACGCTTCGACCAAGACCAAGCGTCAATACGTACTCGTTGGTTATCTTTCCCCTCCAGTAGTTGTCCTGATCCTTGACGTGGATGCTGTGCAGGGCCTTCAGATCATAAACGTGTAGAGTCTTGATCTGTAGCGACTGACGTCAGGGAGCTCGAAACAAGAGGAGAAAGGAAACGCGTACTCCGAGGGCAGCAGTGAGCTTGGACACCGGACCATAGGTCTCTATAAGATGGTTGAGGAAGGCGTCGTTGTCGTGGGTAAAGAATCGTTGCATGTTTCCTGGTTCATGGAAGAAAACATTAGTGCGTCGGTCAAGACGAGCATGGTTTATGGGCACAAACGGACCTAGGAGCAGTGATGCTGGAGCCGGTCCTGGGATGTTGTCGAGTGGGGTGGTGCCCACAAAGAAGTTACGCGTGAAGCGCCATATCATATAGGCAATAGAACAGACAACAACGAAAACAGCGAGGTTGGCCATGAAGGTCTCCGGAAACCATGACCAGCAAAGATGGCGTCCAGAAGTATATATCCTTCTCTGGGAACGAGAAGGTCGATCGAGTCACCGAGTAGACTGCTGCCGGTTTCACCCGTGTGACAGAGCAACGCTTCGGTTTGGTTGCGCAGTGTTGAGGCATCGTGTGTGAGCTATAGCAGGAAGAGCATCAGCGTCTATGGGGGTCGCGGTACCGGTGACCATTCAGATGATGACTTTGATACGTTCCGAGAGCATTCGTCCGCACGGCCTGCCTGTGCGTGGCGCAAGATGTGGGGCGCATTGACATCTCATGTACAACAGCACGCATCGCTTGACGTCAATTCAATTACAGTATAGGATTGCACTACTTAGCTGCGAGTATCCAATATGCCCGAAAGATATCCGAACCTTTCCGCCATGACAACTCTCAGAAATCTCAAGCCTCCACTACTCTTCGTCGTCTGACACTGGATCGCGAGAGTCCTCGTCGTCGTCTGGGAGAGCTCCCAGACTCTCCACGGAGAGCCCTAGCTTCTCGCGCACCAGCCCAAAGTCGAGGTCATTTGCGCACTTCTCGTGGTTCTCTTCGCCGTCGAGGACTGCGTCGATGTACTGCGTCTCCGCATCGTAGAGACGACCGAGCGGGGTGAGTTCCTCTCGCGCGCGATCGACAATGCAATCAAGCGCGTATTCTGCCTTGCCTCCGTTATCGAGGAAGACGGCAATGGGTTTCAATGACGCGTCTTCCGAGTCACGCAACTCAGCGAGTTTGGCGGAGACGGTAGCCACAGTGGGGAAATCTTTGCGCTCCTCGCTGAGCAGGTCCTTGATTGCTTCGAAAACGGCAATATATCCACGATAGACAGCATCTCCAGACTGTGTGGAGGGCCCGATCTTGTGGCGCACTTCAAGGGGCAGATAGTAGACGGAGTTGTCTATGTGGGTGTAATCGATGGGGAGGACGCTTGTGACATCTTCTCCAACACCGTCCTGAGTGTGGAGGAGAGACTTCGCGAGCCCATATCTAAGCTCCGTGGAGTCTGAGAGGGCATATTGACGAGGTGGTTGTGGCGGGAAAAAGGGATATACACTCACAGTCCAACAGCTCCTTCATCCTAGGCGACAACCAGCCCTCGAAACATTGGCCGCAGGTACAGGTCTGCTTCGTTTCAGACATTGCGGTCCGATAGGTGGTAAGATGGTCTGGCCAAGAAAGGTATTGTCATTCCAGTTCAACGAAGACCGAGTTCTTATGGGATGCGCCCAAGCATGGAGACGGACAAAGCGACAGGATAAGCGCCAAGGGAGATTTCCGGTGCGTGGTCCCTGCGTGCTCTGAAGACAAGACCGGAAAGATGGCGGCGCGTTGAGTACGACAGTGACGGAAAAGTACCAAAGCACTTTTGTGAATTGTATGGGGATATCAAATGGAGAGCATGAGTGAGACGCCGAGTAGACGAACTGCGGATGAATCCAGGCCACTGGCGCCGTCGTACACTCCCTTCGTACTGGGATCCGACTGTATGCAGTCCCATCCGGACTTGACTAGTCCGAGTATGACGACGTCTTGGCCGCCATGATATCGACGGGGCTGCAAACAGCACAGGCCTGTCTCCATCATCCTCAGGCGGCTCATCCGTGGCTTTCCTTGCCAGCTCCAACGTAAACAGGACAATGTGGATGTCAGTTATGGCTCTTGTCATCCCCGAGCTTATCTATCGGCTTGGTCCGTATCATGTTGTTCACTTCCCTCTTCTACAACAGAGTCCGAAGGCTGATTTCGACTGCTGGAGCCCGGACCTCTGCTCTCTCGCCAGCTTCGAGTCTCACTTCGAGTCTCCCTTGACGACCACTAAGCGCCCAAGATGACCAGGCTTCCGAGTAAGTACTGGCAAGCGCCACCTGCGTCTGCTTCTAGTAAAGCCACCAACGGGAGGGTATGTCTAACGCTTCGCTTTCCATTCCGCTTGGTATGTGAGCCTTCCCTCTGAGCTGTTTCTCGAGACTGAAACGACAAACAGCCTCTCGCAGACCCCAATATTCGTTCCTCCGGAATGGACAGCACTTCTGCTTTAGAGCTCTTTTCCGGTAACGGTGCGTGATGTCGTGCATATGCGCTCAACTCGCTTACACTGTGCATATAGCCTGCTTCAGTCCACGAGTCCCTATAATGGCGAAGAAGGAATGGGGTGAGTGAGGCGAGGCGCGCCAGTGCGATGTCTCGCTGGAACTCCCACTTCTGCTCTAGTACATAATGGAGGCAAAATCGCCTTCCCTCAGTCTGGCGCAACGGGTGCGACGTACGTTTTCTGCGATGGCGAGGACGACCCATGGTTTCTCAAGTGAGTACGCGCTACTCGATATACCGCAAGCAGGCTATGCTCAAGTAGTTTCCGTGTCGATAGGTTGTACCAGAGGTCTATCGCTGTAAGCGCAGAACGTGAGGAAGTAATTATTGGCTGAACCGAACCTCCCAGGTATTTCACTGGGCATGGATCTCTGCAGTAGTGGCTGCACGGTTCCGTCTGCCAATCTCCGCGTACGTGATTGACGGTAAGTTATGTATCGAGAACCCTTCTCACTTCAGGCTCAAAGAGACATTCTAGGCTACTCCACCGAACCTGTCCGACCCGCATATAGCCAATCCGGTGATCCGGAAGAAGATTTAGACCGCACACTGCTGAGCACTCCTCCCTTGAACGCGCATATAGTCAGCCCGTCGGCTAAATCCGAGCCCTACGAGTCGAAGAGTGTTACGCCACCCTGCGGAGATGTATGTCCCGTCGTAGATCTACGCCTGATGGTCCGATCGCGGCAAGCCAGAACGGGGCGCCCTTTGAAGACCAGCGAAGTCATCGAGCGTTTTCAAGACGAATACGAGCACAAAGGGGCGCCCCCTATGCGGTTAGTCCGACCTCTGTCATCGGGTCATCTAAAAACGTACCAAGGTCTTTTCAGGCGGCTTGCTGCGACTGGTGCTATCCCTGTGTCCGAGGCGCTCGACGCTTTGCGGCACGTCTCTACAGCTAAGGCGGTCCAGTTCGTCCCGGGGACCGTCCATCGCGGAAAAGAATTTCAGTGCTGGTATGCTTGACGAAGGCTACGCTTCTTCCTTTCATCTACGAAACCCGACACTTCCTGCAGCAGACATGAATTGTGGTTTCACACGTCAATGGCAGACTGAAATGAAGAGCTCTATAGGCGTGCATTCACTTGTCCAGGGTAGTGTCTTCTCGAATCAAGATCATGTATAAATATGATAAGCAAGGATAGGCTACATGTACGATGGTATGGCAGGTATCAATGTGGTCTAGGCATTAGTCGTGAAGAATACATCAGTGTACAGAGCAGAGGCGCAGGCACAAGCACAGAAGTCGGCAGCTATTCATCCGGGTCTGATACCGCATAATTCAAGTCGGCGATGAAGAGATTGCTCTCCACGCGCTCTAATCTGACAAGCCAAACCCTATAGAACGCGTCTTGGCGTAGCCGAAATTCGAACACCTCGTAATGGGATAAACGGGATGTACGCTGTTGCTAGACATGTCATCAACGACGAGTCGGGACAGGAGGGATACGTCATGAGTACGCTCACCTCAACGAACCTATTGAACACCTGCGCCACCAACATCGCCAGCTGCAGCCGTGTCAGCGTGTCGTTGACGGGGACCCATTCCTCGTACACCTCGGCCGCAGGCTCGTAACCTGCCGGGTGCGGCCACTGCAGGCATGATGGTAAATGTTTGCTCAGGCAAGCATACAGGAGGATGCGCACCACGAAGCGGATCCTAATCCGCCGCAGTGCCACGTTGGTGAGCACCTTCGTCCTTGCTCCAAGGACAATTCTGTGAAGCGCTGCTGCGGATGCACACAGGAGCGCATACATAGGTATGCCGCGCTGTCGAAGAAACGGCCGGGCGTTCCTGTTGAATGAGAACTCAATCTTTTGTCCGACTACAGCTTGAGACCGCGTCATGGGTCGGTCCACGGCCCTTTGCGAGTGGTCTCCACCGACGTGTCTGGCATCGCGAGGAACAGGCTTGAGTACCTGCACCTCGCTCTCAGTCAATGTGGTGGCGCCTTCGATGGTTGAGAACGCCCTGGGGTATTTGTTCTCGGTTTCTGGAAACAGTGATTGGTACAATCGCGTCTCTCCTTCAAAGATCATGTCCCAGTCATCCATGACGGGAGGAAGAGGTGGGCAGCTCGGAGAGGGAGCCTTAGATCGGTAGCGCGTAGAGCGAGTCTCCATCTGGGAACCAAGTGCGTTTACGCGTCGACAGTCGAGACTTCGTTGTGGCGGGCTGTCGCTGTGGCGAGCAGTTGGTGTTGGTGGCGCGGACGGCGTTTTGGCGCAGAGTATAGAACAGATTTGAGTGGTTGGCGGCGTGTTCAACACTTATAGACACAAGGAGGGCACATGCGATAAACCACAAAGCGCGAAGGGACAAAGCTCACCAGACGCTTTGGCCGAAGCGAGATGCGAATGTCCGCATTGGAGGAACAAAGCCAATTCCGGCACAACGTGAGGCGGTGCTGCGTCGCAAGAAGTAGCCCCAGAACATGTCTGAGGCGCAGCAATATGTCAGCGTCCACGGTACACGCGTCCGTGGTTGATGTCATTTCCAACAACATATGGGGTTCGAAGGTGCTGGCTTCACAATGTGCCAGGCCGCAGATGGTGGCCAAAGCGCCGTCCGAGTCGGGTTGCCAGTGTAGAAGTTCGAGGGCAAGCGGGCACAAATGGGATTCGCGTTTGGCCGGTGCAAACGCGTGCCGTACACACTAGATACAATAAGGCTTATATACGTAGCTAAATAGGGGTAGATAAGGGCGCGGGTATCCGTCGGGGAGGCGGGACCTGTGGCGCTTGTTCCGCGAGCTCGCCATCTTGACGCCAGGATTCCAACACATCCCCTCGAGCGAGCGCGGGCAACGAGCGAAGGGTAACAAACAAATGGAACGGGGCGGGGATAAGGGAAACAGCGAGCAAGGAAGGAGGGGTTTGTGTCCGCACAAATAAGGGATAACGTACGATAAGTCTAATACATCCCCTTAATCGGGGCGTTTACCACGCTTCCGTCTCCTTCTCGGCAAGAAGCCGATCGGCGCTAACGGTTGCCGAAAATGCGCAGTTGGCCTCTTCAGTCTTGAGCTCTGGGCAGTCGCGCTGATAGTGGCCCTTCTTTCGAGCACCTTGAAGCAGGTGATGCGCTCGAGCGGGGTGCGGGCTTCGTGTAAGCAGCGA